GTCCCACGGCCCTCTGCGGCCCAAAGTTAAAAACTGTTGTTCTTTTGAGGCCCTCAAGGTGGCGCTGTGGGCCGCGGCCCATGGGTTCAGAATCTCTGTTTTAGAGGATTGAGTTCAATCCCAGACTGTGGAAATATGGGACTGCCACTGGTGCACCTGTGGTACCAGAAGCTCAAAACGAGTCAGTAGCAAAACAAGTTTGTTTTTTGTTAACGCAACCGACATACTTAACTCACAAATGCATTTTCCTAACAAACGTGGCACCATTTAAGTAGAAATAAATGGGTATAAACTTTATTGAAGATGCATWGTTAAAATAAAGAAATTACAAACCAAGCACACAGTTTTCTACTTGATATCTAATTTAGTGCTCAGTTGTTTAGTTTAGTTTACATGTGTCCAACCAGTTATTTTTTTCAAGAGATAAAACTACACCTCACTGACTCATGGTGTACCTCAGGGCTCAAGTCTTGGACGGTCGGACCCTTCCTATTTTTATTGTCAAAATAGCCTGTGTGCTCTTGTGATGGCTCCTAATCCAATTTTCTTTAAATTTAATAATTTTACCGGTGAGACACTTCTCTTCTAAAGCATTAAATCCTAAAATGCCCTTTAAAGTAACTCTTCTGCACATTTATTTAAGATTAGGTACTGGTTATTACATCTTTAAGTAATCTCAGATCAAATGTCTTAGTCGATGAGCTCCAAGTTTTATTAACAGAATTTTTAAATAAAAAAATAAATTATTTTTTTCTGGTTTAGTTTATGTAAGGCTCAAACATTTTCCTTCATGAGGCAAACAGAGAGTGGTTATGACTCTATTTCTTTTTTTCTGTTTCTCTCTTCTTTGGTCACTCCACAGCCTAATTTGAACTTAAATATGGTTTTCCAGATGATTTAGGCCCATCCTGGGCTTATATGACCTACTTGTTGCAGTTTCTTTTAATTATACCTGCATTAGAATTTAACAAGTTCATGCAGTGTATCTACTWAAACAGGTCTTCATGCGTGCACACACACATAAAGAGACAAAACCCATGCACACTGAAAGAAAACTGAATGAAGATGGACTGAAAATGGACTACTTTTCTTTTGTGTTTTTTTGTTTGTTTTTTACAGAAGTGAGTAATGGTCTTTACACATAATATAGGTCATCTTATGACTTATATTGGTTGTTTGATTAAATAACTTGAAGAAAACTAGGTGCCCCTCTGTAACTTTAGATTTCCCTATTATAAAACTTTACAGTCAGTGTCTCTTTCTGAGTTTCTTTATAGGTGTTTTTGCAAATAACTTCTAAACAATAAAAGTTACTGCTTCAGCTTTGATTTTTTTAAACAAATAAAATCCAAGTGAAACAATTAAACACTAACTTTATATGTGTTGTACTTTCTGCTTCAGATGCAAAGTCATAAATCCTCAGTCTGGAARTAAAGATATTTTAACTGTTTTCAGAGTTTCTCCCTATTTTTCTTGTCTTTCTGTCTCTGAAGCTCCTAATTTATGCAAAAGCAAGTTAAATAATAATAATCAGAGGAGGGCATGGATTATGTACAGATTATTCTGTTTCACTGTTTAGTTTTAGGCTCGCAAATATTTTCAAATGCTCCTGTTCTTTCTTTTGGTTAATTTGAGCTGTTTAGCTGTCTTTTTATTTTATTTTATTTTATTTTATTTTTAGTTTTTTAAGTAGGGCTGTGTGAATATTGACAGGCTTTTGGACGATAAAATGCAAGTAATGAAGAATTGCAATAATATATATTCAATTCATTTATTTATTCGTTTCATTAAAAAGAAAGACATTTCACATAATAAAGCAATACAAATAAAACAAAATAAAAGGCAGCAGTAGAAGAAAAAAATCTTATATCTGCTCCTTTTTTTAAAACAATATTTCAAACAATGATAAATCAAAAAAAATTCAAACTCCTCAAACAGAAACTAATACAAATTAAACAATTTCATATTTCTTCAACAATTCTTCCTTAATCGTTTTCTTAAAGGAATTTACTGATCCAATGCCTTTATAGTCATTGTCCAAACCATTCACAATCTTTTACGCTTTACTGAAATGCATCTGTCCTTCAAATGTGAAGTATGAAAGTGGTTTTGTGCTAATAAATGAGGGTCTGACCACGTTTTGTAATTTGATATTGTGACAGATTTGGAAATGGACTGATGGAGACCTCAGCTCTCGGTCTATTTAACCAAAAATAAAAAAAGTAATGTCTCGGTTGATTTGAGAGGGGTCTAATTACTCCTGTCCAGATGGTGGCCGGTCAAACAGCTGCTGCTGGGAGTGAGTCTTATTTTTCATCATGTTGGTATCTTTTGTCTCGAGTCGGCCAGCAAAAACAACGTCTACGTCGGGGAGTTCTGCCCCACTTATAAGTTTGTAACTGCTGTTTTTCCACATCCATGCTGAATATTTAATGCTTTTCATTGTTCGATTTCTTCTTTTACTGCTGATGGTGGAAACTGCAAATCGATTCAGTTTAATAAGAGTTTCTGGTCATTCTCAGGTCAAAGCTTGGGTTTGTCGTCTTTTAAGAGGTCCGGTTCTGTTTTTGCCATGGCAGAAAAATAATACTGCAGTTCTACACTGGACTCTGACAGGAGGGATGTGACAAGAAGACCATTTTCAAATAATAAATAAATCTGTTTTTCTGTGATAACTTGCACGTAATCTTTTAGACCTGTTATATGTTTCTCTTCACGTGTCGTTTTCCAGCTTTGTTGTTTTTCTGGATGTGTTACAGGTCGCTGAAGAGCAACAGGATTCGGGTTTTGCCTGACTTTGTGTTCTCAGAGTACTCTGCTCTAGAGAAACTGTGAGTATTTCTTTCTTTCGTTTGTTTTTGGACYCTCTCTGGCTGGAATACATTTCTGCCCGAGTCACAGCTCTGTGTAAACGTTGAGTTTTAATAGTTAAGACACAAACCTTCAGGTTTTTATTACTCGAACCATTTGAAGAGTGGGGGAAAAAACATGCATTTGATCATAATGGGGACAGATACTTGCGCATCATCCTGGCTGCACAGCAGAATATTAGTTTTAATCCTTCAGGGACAATATTGGCTGTTCTTTTCTGCAAGAAGCAGCTGAGTTTTGTGCTAAGAGGTCTCTCGGTTCATCCTTAAGACTTAAAAAAAAAGGTTCCACAGGGAGCGCTGCGTTTATTTGATAAAAAACAGCCTTCTTCAGTTTAAAGTTCCCAGAAAATACTGTCATAAATGTTCTCATCTAATCATGATAAATACTCCACGTAGCAGTTTCACACAAGGAAGAGCTAAACAAAGATGTCCAAACAAATCAAAATCTCTATACTGACTTTTAAGACCTAATTGAACATCAAATTTATAAATCAGCAAGCTTTTCGCCCCCATTCCTGTTTGATTTCTCCACTGTCTGTTGTAGACTTCAACATCAAAACCAAAACCAGACTTAATTTGTGTGTTTAATGCGCCGCCACATATTCAGTTTTATGACAGTAATGAAAATGTTTCTGTTCGGCTCAGCAGAGATTTAACAACTAAATTTAATTGATTCTTTTAATCGTGTGCAGGATCAACATTTATTTTTACAGTGAGACAGTTTTCCCCTATATATATTTTTTTTTTCAGTTTTTTTCATAAACAGGCCTGGTTTAGCTGATTACTATACTATTTATTGACATTTTATTGCTTATAAAACTGCAGAGCCAAGCTTCCTGATTGGTTAAAGCAGATTAAATTACAATGTCACAGATTTTCAACTGTTAATTGACTTTTTAGTTTCAACTCATGCACTGAAGTAACTTCAAAACTATGAAAAGGCACATACATATACGTTAAAAATTTGAGCATAAAAACCAGATAAGTACTTTAAAACAAAAGCAAAAAACCCTTAAGACCTGCAATGCCTCTCACTTAATAAATAAAATAACCATAAAGTTCTGTTTGTACTAAAATTTGGATGGCAAATGAAGTAAACATTTTTTCCCCATTTTACTATTTCATCTAAAAATGCCATTTATTTATCACTTTTAAGAGTCTAAACCTTTGTTCTTTGACCAGGATCAATTAAATAATAAAAAACAGTTTGCAGCAAACATAAACTAACCGCTGAAATATTTCAAAAGCAAAGCAGGAACTTTCTGATGATAAAGTGATAAATATAGTTTTGTTTTGTGCTCAAGTTTTACTGACCTCGCTTGTACTGCTTCCAGGCAATATCATTCTGTAGTTTGTTTTTAACGACGCAGACTGGAGTGCATCCTCAGTAAAATAATGTCTCATAAAACACTAAAGCAGATGAAAATATATTGTTGCTTGTTGTCGATGCATCATTTAAAGTGTCTCACTTGCATCATCGCCCACAGTTAGTCAGGACTCGTCTTTTAGCGATGCACTTTGTTGAACGGCACGCTGTAAAACGTGTTATTGATGAGCCGTAATGAATCCGGATCAGAACGAGCAGAAGACATTGGCCAGTGGAGACACTGGTGATGACGCCTGCGAYGGTTCACCACTTCCTGACTTTATCGGTTTAAATGCTGAGTCAGCGTTAACTTTTTTTTAAATACATTCACTTTTATAGTTCTTTAATTTCTCAGCAACTACTTCCCTTGCATCCTTTGTGCTTTTTTTGTCCGTTCATATATCAGAACATTCAGCTCGCTTGGGAAAAGTGCTGCTATAATTTTTTTGGGCGGTTTTGTAACTTTTATGTTTCTCATTAAATGTAACTTTATTTAAACAAAATCACCACAGAAGCATATTAAACTTTCTTTAATTACTTTAAAAAACAGTTTATTTTAAATCTACAGCAGCCTTCTTGCTTTATTTTTGTCTTGCTTTGCTAGTTTTGGCAATTATACAATTCTGCTACTTTTAGCTTTTAGCTGACATTTTTATCCTTTTAGCTTTTGGCTAGTGCTGTGCTTTTTAATTTAAAAAATATCAATTTTATATTTTCTGTAGCTTTACAAGTTTAAAAATCTATATTATTTTAGCAAAGTCTTGGGTTTATGATTACTGTGTAAAATGTGTCAAAACAATAAGTTTGAATTGCAGCTATTGGCTAGCGTTTTGCTCCTTTTATCTACCGTTTTGTCATATTRTCTTTTAGCTAACCTTCTGCTCTTTTTAGCTTTGAGCTAAAGTTTTGCTGTTTTTTGCTTCCTTTTATCTTGTAGCTGTCATTCTGCTTTTTTAAGCTTATAGCTAAAGTTTCTCTCCTTTTGGTTTTGAGCTACTACGCTGGTTTTTTTTAGCGACTATTCTGTTTTTTTAAGCTAAAGTTTTCTCTTTTTTAGCTTTTTGGTTAAGATTTCGCCTTTAAAGTGCTTCTTTATAGCTTACATCCTGCTCTTTTAGCTCCTATTCATCTTGTTTTAACTTTAATGATTCAGCTTCTTCTGCAAACTTCAGCATCATTGAGCATATTTCATTTTCACAGATGCAAAAAATGCAATTAATAATCTATCATGGTTTTACAAAATGTACTGTTCTATGAACATAACGGTGTTGACTCTATGTTTTCGGTCTAAAAATAAATGTCATTTAATGTTACCTTTTATCCTGCTTATGTGTTGAATAATAAGAACTGCTTTATGTCATTGTTTAACTAATGTCAAATAAAATAAATGACTGTAAAAATGACACTATAATCACCCTTACATCTTTGTTTTACATCTGATTTCACATTCTGCTCCTATTTACTTTTGTTTTTGTTTTTTTTTACATGTAAAAGGTAATTTATAGTTTAAAAAATCCAACATGTTCTTGTTTTGTATTCTCAGGTTTCTGCAGAACAACAGCCTCCAGTTCATTTCCAAACATGCCTTCAGTGGTCTGTTTAGTTTAAAAAAGTTGTAAGTATTCTGTTCCCATCATTAAAAACCACTAATGTCTATATAGTTAGTACTTATCTCCAAAGCGTAAAAAAAATGTATAGGTTTAAAACAAATTAACTCATTATGTGTTTAGTTTCAATCTTTAATTAAATAGCAACTGGTTATTTGTTTATACGGACAAATTTAATTTAGATCTAAAATTGACAGCTTTATTTTTCGGTTATTATTTTTTGCTTTGATTGGGCTGCACAGTTTTTGTGTGGCAGTGGTGGTGGTTTGAGATAATGCAAACAATTAGGAACCAGACAATTAAAGCCACCTGCACCATGAACAAAAATATTAWCAGGATTAAAATCAAATTAAATAAAGTCAGGAAGTTTTGAGCTGTGTGCTCAAATCACGTTTTATTTTCTAAATATCCACTGGAGCTGCGCTTTGACACAAGTCCTGTTTGCAAAGTTGCCTTCGTCAGTTGGTCAATTCTTTGTTCACCACAAAAACTATATTGATTCATAATTAGTTACATTTGTTTTGTCTGTGGTTATCTTCTTCTCAGGTTCCTCAGTGAAAACTTAATCAACTCCCTTAGTCCTGGTGTGTTCAAGGACCTGAATCAGTTAGAGTGGCTGTAAGTAACTCAAACTTATACAAATATAAACCTATTTCTGCTCACTTCATATGATAATAAAAACCGTTTGACTGCAGGTGGACACATTTTAAAAATAAATTGTTTTTTCTCGTTAGAGTCTGTAATCTGTTTTTAATCTTTAAGTTTGAGAATAATGCCATGAATATCATGGTTTGCAGCTGGAATTTCACTTTCATGTTTGCGGTTCTTCACTCCCCAGGACAACAAGAACCTCCTGTGGACACTGGGATAAGAGCTTAAATTATGTACAGCTGTGTAGATAAACTTTTATTCCTCATTTGAAGTTGCGTTTGACTAAACCGTTCCAGCGAAGACAGATGAGTCAGGCTCCGTCTCATGAGGTCTAATGATGTTAATGGTTTTTAATACTTTTTGAAAAGTTCAACCCAGATGATGGACTTGATCTTCTCCGTTGTTTCCACAAACACTGATTTATATGTGAGCAGAACCACAGTAACCGAGGAGATTATCTTGTCTTCTCTTCCAGGATGTTGGATCACAACAATCTGAGCAGCTTGTCCCACGAAGCCTTTCTTGGACTTCATTCCCTCATGTTTTTGTAAGTTTCCCACTTTTTTTGTGTCAATTCCTGTGAATTCCTTGGGTTTTGCATTGAAAATATATCTCTAGTAAATAAAACAAGCTGTTCTCAGGAACAAAAAAAAAGTTTTGATCTAAGAGTTACATTTCCAATTGTCTTTGACTTTTGGTCAACTAACACAAGCGCATTGATGTTAAAGGGGCAATATTATGTGTTTCTCGGGCATATATTTAAATACTATACCATAATAAAGTATCTATGTCACCTTTAGCTGTTATTAAAATGCTGTTTTTATGTTAAAATCGAAAATAAACTTATCTTCTCATCACTTCCTCTTCTAAACACCTTGAAATTGGCCTCTGTCTCTTTAAGAACCACCTTCCGCTTCTGTACCGCCCATTTCAGTGCGGGGGGTGGGGTGGGGGGTCGTGCGCTATGATGCAGTTTACTTGGCATCTGAAAATACATTTCCTCAAAGGTATTTTTAATCTGAAAAGTATGAAGTCCGCGAGGGGACATGGGAGATTTTTTTTCTTTTAGTATCGCGTATAGTATCGCGAGGTAACGCAATACTATTGCGTTACCTCGCAGTTTTTGATATTCTATAAGTTTTCATTGAAGAAGCTTTCAACTTTAGGAGATGTATTATAGAGGCATTCAACCATGGAATTTTATTTTTCTGGACTGGAACTTTACAAGTTGAAATATATTTTTCCCTGTATTGTCTCCAACTTATCATAAAAATTTGACAGAATGCGATTTGGATTTGACAGAGAAATACCCTCATTCCAGTTAGTATTCTCAATCTCAGCATGAATTATGGGTAACTT